ACATTCATCTGTCCTGGACTTTGCATCCTCCTTCATGCAAAGTAGGAAGAAGGATGAGTTTTCCTGGCAGGCTAAGGAAAAAAAATAAAAATAAAAGGAGATGTATATATATAGCAGCAGCTGCTCAAAGACCTCAGGAGGCTTGGCATGTGCCCGTGTGCCCAGCAGAGGTAGCGGGCAGGGCAGAAATGAGACCATTTTTCACACAGATGCATGGCTCATCATGAGGAAGCTGCCACCGAGCATGGCTTAAACTGTTCGTCTACAGCGAGAAGTCACTAAACAAACATTAACTAAAGTTGCTGAAATGATGAATCTTTCTGGCAGGCTCCACTATTCCCATGGGGTAATTCAGCTTCCGCTACGTGGGCATACATAAAATTCACCAGCAGCCTGCGCTTGTTTGCAAAAGGAAAACCTTTAAGTCAGTGAAAACAAGAGCCCGTCGCCCACCTTGAGGACTTGTCAGCACACGTGGGACACACGGGAAACAGCCCAGCCACAGTCACCCCCTCCTGCCTTCGCCCATGCCACCGCAAACACTCAATCCCAGGAACAAGCCCTCACTCCTTTCCCAGCACAGCTGCCTCGGCGCACCGAGAGCGGCAGAGTCCACGGGGGCAGACGCGGCTTAGCTGTTCCTACAGAGCTGCCATCGCCTACCAGAAAGCAGTCTGGAGAGCATAAACGGATGGTCACAGCATTAAACAAACCCTCATCTGCACAGGCAGGACACAAAGCAAGTTCAGAAGCTTCCAGGGGGCCATCATATTGCCCTATACCAACCACCGCGCACCGGCTCACCCTTACTGTCCTCAAGAAATCGGGAGAGCGTTTGTTACGATGCCAAAGCACCTGCATTTCGAGAGGACCAGAAAGCACATTTTAAAAAAAGGAAAAGAAAAAAAAAAAAAAAAAAGAAACCTATGGGCTACACCATCCTTTTGAGCAAGTGTATGTATTTTAGAAGTACCGTCTGATCCGAGTTGATGGTGCCGAGTGACAGCGTATCTTCTTTTCTCTTTCCTAGCTTGTCACAACAGTTCCTAAACTATGAAGAGCGCACACTTCATTCCTACTTGGAACTTGGTCACCTTTTAGCACCCAGTCATCAGTCTGGTCCTGACTTACTAGTTAGCTTAACAAGTCCTCTAGAATATAAACCTAGAAAATTGCTCTTGCTTTTAAGCACCTCTGAATATTACTAATTTATCCTTAACTCCTCCTTGAAGTCACCTGAGCTACTTTAGCTGCTCATCTGAAGCACTTCACAGTGTCTGAGTTACTCTCCCAGCGCATTTTTACACCTCCCCTATCCTGCAAGCGAAGGCGTGGGCGGTGGGGACAGGGGTCCTGGGACCCTGCTTTCCCCCCTAGGCACCCAAAAAGCTGCTCCCCGGCCCAGGTGAAGGGTGCAGAGGGATGCTGAGCAGCGGGATCAGAGGCTGAGAAACCACAACTCCAACTCCCGGCTGCGTGTCCTGCTGCCTGGGAGCTCCTGGGGGCTGCTGCCACCTAGAGATGCTCACACAGCAAGGCTGCGGGCACGCCGCCCCACGCACCCCATCGCACCCCATAGCAAAGGCTCCCCACCCACCCCAGCAGCTCACCAGCTCTGGCAGCGACATGCATAAAGATCTTTTTCTGTAAAGCCTTTGACCATGTGCACGCTCTCAGTGACAGCCTGCGCTTTCACATTCAGCACGAGCGAACTTGCTGTGGTTAGCTTAAATTTATTTTTTTTTTTTTGTTTTCTTTTAATTAAGTAAAAATAACTCTAATATCTCCCGAAAACTAGAAGAAAACGTTTAGTTAAATTAAGGGCTGTGGCTAATTCCCTGCTAGAAATCCGAGGGCACATTTCAGAACAACTCAGCATTACAAATTAAGGTCAGGAGTGCCAAGCAGCCCCCGCCGCTCAGCCCGGCGCTCCCGCAGGGTGCTGGGCCCTCCGCTGCCGTGCTCGCGGGGGAACCACTGCGGCTGCCCCCGCCGCTCGTCCCGCTTCGCCACCGTGCGGGTTCAGGGGAAGGGCTTCTCCCTTCACAAGCTGCTAATGCCAAGTCTCATTTGGTTTACTCATAGGCATGTATTGCAGGTCCTTATTATTACTGTTTTCACATTAATTACAAGCGCAGCTCTTGGTGCCAGAATCCATATACATATACATCAATTACCATCTTAAAAAAAAAAAAAGAAAAAGAAAAAGGTCACAACTAAGTCACTGGGGCACTTTGCAGTGCCAGAACGGGCACGGCGGGTGCACACACGGTGCAGCCCGGTGCCAAAGCTGCCCCAGGCTCCCTGGGGACACCCCAAACAGCAAGGCCAGATCCAGGCCCCCCCCTGCCCTGCAGCAGCGCTGGCCTGCAGTGCCCTCAGGGGACACGCAGGGACAGTGGCAGCTTGCCCCAGCTATCACGCCGAGACCTCCCCACACCACAGCCCTGCAGCCAGACACACGTGGGGGGAGCGGGACCTCCCAGGAGGGATGCAGGGTCCGTAACAGCACCCGCTCCCCTTCGGTAAAAGGGGCTGAGGCGGGACGTCCCCTTTGCAGGGACTGAGTCATCTGATGGCAGCTACAGGCTGAAACTCCCAGTCAATATTTATCGTGCCTTTGCAAAGGCACTCAGAGCTCAGCCTAATTTTAACCATCAAATAGACATCGCGGCGGAATAAACGGGAGAGGTGCCAAGGAGAGATGCAGCTCCTCTCCATTGCAGCAGCCCTCCAAAAGCATGTGGCATGTCCCATCTGACATGGCCCAGAGAGGAGCAGCGACACGAAACTAAAGCCTGCCCGTACATCAGCCCCAACATGTTCCTCACTGACAAAACAAAACACACAAAAAAAAAAAAAGCTGCAAAAATATTTGAGGTACAATTAATTTCTCAGAGCAGTTGAATACTCCAAACAGCGCGAAGTTAATTTGGCTGTAATTATTTAACAACTCAACAGCCCCATATATCAGAAAAAGGAGTTAATTTATCAGCTATTTCCAAGCAGAACAAAGACTTGCCAGCTTCCAGGTAACAGCCCAGGCTGTTTGGCTCACGTGACCCTGGCTGAGCTGTGCACAGCAAACATTATATGCCCGAGCATGGAGACAGAAGAAATCAAAAAACCCCAACATATTCACATATTTGCATTTTAACCAACAGACACGGGATAATGGAATCAAAAGTTTGGCCAACAGCTCGCTTGCACGAGCGAAGGCATCGTCATCTCCCTTGATGCACTGGAAATGAAGGCGGTAGCCAGAGCCTCATCCTAAGGTGCCCAAAAATCCAAGAGAGACCAAATTCTGAGGGGTCCTAAATACCTGCAAATCAAGGCTCACCTGTCCAGCCCCCCTCACTACTTCAGCAAGTGCCAAGCAGCGAGAGTCAATCATTAATAGCTGCTATTCCCCACAGCAGCACCCAAACCCCTCCAAATAGGAAACGTCACTCCAACCCTGTTATTTTAATAAACAGATTTTCTTTTTTGCACAGCGCAGAGCATAGAGGCTTTCCTGCAGCACAGGTCCAGGAGGCTTCCCCAGAGGCAGCAGGCAGGCAGGCAAGCGACCCTGGACCGATGCCTTTTATTTTCACTGGGCTATAAATCCAGCAAGGGAGCATCTTTGTGATCATCCACTCCAACAGCCACGTCCGAGCGGTGGGGAAGGAGGGCTGGAGAGCGCGGGAGCAGACCAGCGGGGACGGCTGCTGCCCCAAATCGGGGCAGGCTACAGGCAAAGTCTGAGAGAGAAAAGTACCAAGTCAGGGGAAGAGAGAGGCTGCGTGTAAACCAGGAGGCAGGCAAAAAGGTACAGCAAAGCAGAGGCTGGGGAGCAAGGAATGCAATGCTCCTTCAGCTGGGATTTACCAACTCAAACTGCAGGAAAAGAAAACGTAAAGCAAGGCGGCAGCAGCAGCCCAGCGTTTCACCCCTCCTGATTTCAAGGATTAGGAAACAATCACACGCAGAAAAAGTAAACCGTGCACCAAGATGAAAACTGCCTGAGACGCCTAACCAGGCAAGCAAAGCCGGGACACGCTTCTTGCACTTCTCATCAAACATATCATCATCTCAGTTACATAAAGCTCCAAAATATAAACTGAATTGTGAGAATGAGGAGCTGTTGCATCAATACCGCCCAAGCATCATAAATTTTGCATCACCGGGGAGGGAATAAAAAAAAAAAAAAAGTTACAAAGATTGAAGAGATTTCCTTTTAATGTTTTATTCACAGCAAAGGCTCCCGAGAAGCGTGATGCAGCAGGAGGCGATCCCGGTGCCTGCCCCAGCCGAGTACACCGGCACTGCCCCGTACGACAGCGGCAGAGATCGCTGCTCCGATGCCAAAGGAAAAAAAAAAATTAAAAAAAAAAAAAAAAAAAAAATCAAGCAACGCTGCAAGTTTCCCTCCAGAAAGTTAAAAAAAAATCGGGGCAGACCCTGCGGGAGGAAAGCGCTCCTTTGCTGGCTTTAACTTCCAAGCCGCTTGCTCGCTTTACACACACACGCCCCCCCGCCCCGCACGCAAACACACTCGGACCCCGCGCTTCTGTTGCGGCGTTCAGACACACCTTATAGATACGATGTATAGGCGCGAGGGGGGAAACAAAAGCTGCCCCGGCGCGAAGTTGCGGAGCGCGCAGCCCCGTCGGGGCGGCAGCGGCACCTGCGCGGCCGCGGCGGCTCTCCGCGAGGGGCCGCAGCCCGCAACGCGCTCTCTCACCTCTACCCGTCACTAACACATAAATAAATACGAATAAATAAGAAGTCAGCGGGCGTCGCCGCGCCGAAGGTGCGCGGCCGCCGGCTCCGCGGGACCCGCGCTTAACTCCCGCCCCCCCCCCCCCGCGCAGGGGCTGGGGGACACATACACGCACGACACCCGCAGCCCCCCCCCCCCCCCCCCCCCGGCCTGACGGAGGAGAAGTTGGCGGGGAGGGCGCTGCCGCTCCGCCACCCTCCGCCCCTCACCGCGGACCGGGCCGCTCACCCACCTGCCTGCGCCGCCGCGGCGGCCCGCGGGGCCCCGGCCGCCGCCGCCAGCACGCAGCAGCTCCACCACAGCAGCCCCCCGGCCGCCGCCGGCATCGCGCCGCCGCTGCCTCAGCGCCTCCGCCTCGCCGCCGCCATCCCCCGCGCAGCCTCCGCGCTGCCGCCGCCGCCGCCGCCGCCGCCGGCTCCCAAAAGTTGCCGCCGCCGAGCCGCCGCCCCCAGCGCCGCCCCTCCGCGGGCGCGCCGCGGCGCCGACGGGGCGGCCCGCCGCTTGCCGGCCGCGGGGCGCTGCGCCGCCAGCACCGCGCGGAGCGGAGCGGCGCGGAGCGGCGCGGAGCTGAGGGAGCGGGAGGAGGAGGAGGAGGAGGAGGAGGAGGAAGAGGAGGGAGGAGGAGCGGCGGGACGGAGCGAGGGGGCGGGCGGCGGGCGGGGGACGGCGCCGCGCGGGGCCGCCCCGCCCCCCTCCCCTCACTCCGCACCTGCGGAGCCGCGCGAGGCGGCGGGGGCCGCGCGGCTACCCGGCGCGAGCGCGCGCGCGCGCTCCCTCTCCTCCTCCTCCCCCCTCCCACCCCTCTTGCAAAACTGAGGGGGCAGGTGCGCGCGCGGTGCCACTTTTTTCGGCGCAAACAGAAAACAAAAAAACACACAAAAAAAAAAAAAAAAAACGGAAAACCAAAACCAAACAAACAAAAAAAAAAAGCCGGGTATTGCCGCGCGCCTCCGCGAGCGCGCTAGGGCGCGCTTTCGCTTTCCCCGCCGAAAAATCGTGGTGGGGGGAGAGTGTGTGTGGGGGGGGGTGCGTGCACGCTCGCCTCGTCGTGCAAAAAAAAAAAAATAATTAGGGGTAGGTGTGCGTGTGCGAGCTCCCACGAACCACGAGCGGGTGCGCGGCTGCGAAGCGCGCACGGGGAACTTCCACACCCCGCACGCCCCCCCCCTTCCCCGCTCCCCCCGTGCACGGGCGGGGAGGGGAGGGCCCGTGGGGCACAGGGACACGTCCCGCAGGGGCCGAGGGGAGGGGACACCCCCCCAAACACCCCCTCCCGCCCGGCAAATGGCAGAGGCAGAGCCGGCGCTTGCGTGGGTCACGCTCGGGCCCCTCTCTGCCGTGGGGCTTCCCCCCCGCTCCACGCCTGCTCCAGACGGGGACGGGGCACGGCACGCCCCCACCCCTCCCTGGATGCTCCGTGGGTGCTGGCAGCCCCGCGCCTCCCCGCGCAAAAAGCGAAGCGCCACGCCGGGCCCCCACGCGCGACAGCCAGCAGCGCGCCCCTGGGTAAACTTGGGGGGCTGCGGGCAACCCGGCGCTCAGGTGGGGCGACGGGAAGGCCCCGGGGCGGAGGAGGCGGCAGGGCCGCGGGTGGTGGCACCTCGGGCCTCGCTCTTCAGCGCGGCGGGCGGGCTTGGCGCCGAAGTGGCCACGGAGTAGCCAACGTTGGCCACCCCACGAGCCAGCGGCCGACAAACTTGATGCCTCGCCACGGGTTTGAGGCAGCAGCTGCCATTCATAGCTCTGGAAGGCTTGGTCGGCATCCTCCAAGCCTCAGCCCCAGCCCTGCGCCGCGAGCGCGTGGGAGCGGAACGTCGAAGCATCTTCAATTCTTCATTTTATTGCCCAGAAATGTGGGCTCTGGCAGGAGTTTTCGCTGCCCCCTCGCCACAAGCCCGGCCCCTGTGAAGGAGCTCTCCTCGCCCCTTTCAGCCCCGGGTTATGTATCGCCCCTCGGAGCGCTCCTCTGCCCAGCGACCCGATGGCTTTCCCCGGCACCCCTGAGCAAATTTAGTGGAAGAGCGCAGCGGCGAGCGTCTCCCCTCCAGCCGGCTCCGGTGGAGCTCTAAGAATTAGCTCAACCTTGTAGGATCCCATAGGAATTAGCTCAACTTCAGAGGATCAACCCCAGACCCTCCTGCCAAACTACCTCTCTTCCAGCAAAGCCAGAGGCTCACTCATTTTTAAAAAATAAAAAAAAAAAAAATCAAGACAGTATTTCACGTCGGACTACAGCTCTTTCTCCAAAGAGCCAAAAGTTTTGGCTGAAAAGAATTAGCTGGGCTCTGCAGGAAAGAGGCATTGAGGAAGGAGGTTTTATTGCCCTCGGCGCTGCACCTCGCGCCCCGCGACAGCTCGGCGCACATCAGCGGAGAGGTGCGGGGGTCTTCAGCCCCTCGCTGGGGTTTTTCCGTGAGAGCATTGCCCGGGAGAGGCGGGGAGCCACCCCCTGCCCTCACCGAGGGATTAGCAGCAACACAAATCGTTCCCTCCTCGCCACCCCCAGGGAAGAAAAAAAAAAAAAAAAAAAGCGTCGTCCCTTTCTGCTGCAGAAATGGATCCGACGCGGAGGCTGTGGGATGAAACTCGCTCAAATATTGAACTAGAAAAATTTTGCTCTATCTGCCTTTCAGTAAACAGTGACTAATTGCTCTGGCTGGAGCTGCCGTAGCTTCAAGATTGGAAGGTGCAGATGGAGCAACGATAGCGAAGGCGCCTCACCTAACGTTGGCTGTACATTAATCACAAATGTTTGCTATGCAAATCTTGTCATACAAAGCAATTATTGCTGTTCCCGTACTGACCTCATGTTTATTTATTACATGAGCTCTTTATTTGAACCCTGTCTGGTCTCTCTTCCCATATAAGCGTATTAGCGCGTGGCTTCCAAAGGCACCCAGCTGAGAAATTGTAGGTTTATTTGTGGCGCGGAGGGACGGCGTGCGCCACGCCGACTGCAATGCAGAGCCGAGAGGCTTGGCTCTTATGCCGGTGGCTTTTCATGCAAAATATTCTCACCCCGAGGTCTTTGCTGGGACGAAGGACGCCTTCTAATAGCACAGGCAGGGCCGCGACACCGCGTTTGTTCTGACTCTGCAGTATTAGCCGATGGTTAATGGCGACTGTCAGCCCAGGGAGCTGCACAATAAAACTCCGGTTGGGCTTTTTAGGGCCCGCTCAGCAAAAGTGAAATTTTACGCATTCCTTTGTCCTTGGCTTTGCCACCTTCGCCTACCTCCGGGACGACGAGTCACAAAAAGATTTAACTCCGTGACCAAATAAGTTGCAAGTGCATTGCTGAAAGGGGCGGCGTTTGGGTGGCTGGAGCGCTGGGTGTCTTTAAGCACCAAATATTTTCTTGCCACAGGAGTTTTCTCCGTGTGATTTAATGTTGAGCAACAGTGGCATCCGGTGGGCAGAGGGTTTCCTTCCTGACAGCTCGCGGCAGCTCGCTCCCTCGGTTTTGCCGTATGGTTTCTCTAGATTATCATTAAACACAGTTTCTAAATTTATCTGGATTTAGGATTCTTGTTTCTCCCCCTTTCTTCAGTTTGGGTGCACAGCAGGCAGAGCCATGTGTCAACTTTTGCAGAACTACAGTTCTCTTTTAAACGCGCTAGATTACACTCTGCTGTATAATCTCCAGGCAGGCAGGACTTCAGGAATCAGCCGCCCCTCCGAGCCGATCGATTTTGTTCTGCCTGGACCCTGCATGGCCAATACTGCAGGCAAGGCTCCATCCCTGCACCGAGGGCGGCGGGAAGACCCCCCGTGGGTACCTGCCTCGAACCAGCCCCTCCTATCTGACCTCTCATGGGCCCCCTCCACATCCGCAAACGCTATCGGTGCTCTTTTATCGGGGGGGAAACCGTAGAAAAGCCCCCGGGAGCCTGAATCAAATCAAATCCCGCTGCCGCAGCCCCCAGCCCCCTGCTCCCATCCACAGCCTCCCTGCCTCTCTCGCTGCTCGCTCCTCTGCTCTCGCTGCCAGTTTCAGGTCTTCCTAATGTAGTGTTGTTTTCAGAGGTAATTAACACGGCATTTCCCATTGCTTCCAAATCATTAATAAAGCCAGTAATGAACAGCAGGCCTGACGATGAACCCAGCGATGCCACGCTGCACACCTGCCCCTGCCCGAATTACCCCTTTCCAGCATCACCCTTTCGTTAGGCTCTCGGCTGGCTTTCCATCCATCTGACAACTCACATGCCCCAGTTGATTTGAAACATTTCTTTCCCCCCCCAAGTATTTCTCTTTTACGGCGCAGCTGTAGCTTTTACTAATTGTTCATGAAATGACTCTTTTTTTTTTTTCCTTCTAAAGTAATATTTTTTTGAGAGATTGAATTAAAAAGAGGCCATAAATGACTAATGGTAATTAATAAAAATGAAGAAATAATTGGGCAATATCTTTAAATGTGTATGCCTGGAGTCAAACTCCTAAATCCCCATTTCAGTTAGAACAGCCTGGGTTGTTTTTTTTTTTTCTCCCTCAAAGGAGCAGCAGTTCCCATGACTCTCTCAGCAGGGTAAGACACAACCAGAAGGACAGAGGATACTCCGCGTGACGGAATAACCCTCCAAAACCCCCCAAAAGCTGAGGGCTGGGAGAACGTGCTGGACAACGCCGGCAGCAGGCAGCTTGCTGCTGCCCTCCTTCCCTCTCTGAGAGGAGGAGGAGTGCCCGTGTCAGGGCAAGCGGGGATTTGGGGAGCTGGCGAACGTCTTGATCCTCTTGAAAAACAGCACATTTAACCCGTGGAGAGCCCTGCCCCTTCCATGGGGCTGTTAGAAAGGGATTAGACATTGAAGGGCAAGACAGTTGCATTAAAAAAAAAATAGAAGCAATAAAAGTCTTTTTGCAGTTCAGAGCATAAATCAGCCTTTTACTGCTTCCCCTTGCAGGGAGTACAGCCGCAAACGCCTAACTCAGGGATTTTTATATCTCACTGTGAAATATCTGGAAGAGAGCAGCGCCAGGGAGCGGGCACGGGACCGTTTGCCTGAGTCAGCGTTGCGGGTCCGAGGATGCCACCGCGTCCCGGCAGCTCGGGGAGGGCGGCTGAGCGCGATGGCCTGGGGCTGGGCCTGCCGTCCCGTCGGGGGGAGCGGGACTTGGGCATGCGCGGAGCCGGTTTCGATGGCTGCTTCACCCCTGCTCCCCTATCCCGATGATAATTTATCACCGGTGCTTTCTCTTTGCCAGTGCAGAAGACTAGGAGAAACTCGGCTCCAAGCCCCAGATGTAAACCCGAGCTCATTAAAAGGTCGCATTTTACAAAGCAGAGCAGCCACCCTAACCAAATGAGAGCCTGGCTAATTGCCTTCTGTGTGAAATCAGGTTTGTGGTTTC